CCCCCCGTGCTGCTCCTCCTCCTCGTGGTTGTATTAGAGTGTTAGAGTGCTCTCTCCGTCACACACTGTACTTCAGACTCAGGATTATGCATTCACACTCATCCTCACCTCTGCTCAGCCACCTCACAGCCGGACTGGAGCCACTTCCTGTGTCAGCGGCTGCACTTCCTGTGTGTGTCTGGCTGCACTTCCTGTGTGTGTCTGGCTGCACTCACACTGCAGGTTGTGCCTGGACTCACAGGAGTGTTTGTACCTCATTCTAAAGCACTTCATCATCCTCAGAGCACTTGCCGACCCGCAGCCAGAGGAGAGTCGGTGTCACAGTAACACTTCGGAGGCTCCTCTCTTACCTCCAGACGATCCCACCACGCAGATACTTCTGCTTTGATTTCTCTAGGTTTTCAAATGTATGTTGGGTGGTTGTTACATGCACACTCCTAAATAGGATTGTCTCCAGATCATGTAAAGAGCAGGTGGGGGGGCATCATGACTGCAGTTGGAATAAGGAACTGATGACAGGTCATGTGTGTCATGAGGAGCAGGGCTTTGTGAGAGTGGGAATGACAGTGAAATATGAATGTTCATTAGCCACAGGAGCTCAGAATAGCAAGAGAACGTACGCATGTTGCTCTTCCCGTCTGTAAACTACCTGCTGGTTGGATCCTACTGGAGGTAAGTTGGAACATCATGAAGCAAACGCTGTGGAGCTTTTTTTTAAATGCAACTGCAGTACTCATTATTTTCTGGGACTGATGAGGGGTCAAACTGAAGCCCCCCGCCCCACATCAAAGCTTCAGCAACACTTGCGGTGCGTTCAGGTGCTCCTTGTCAACGGGGGAAGTCAAAAAGCTTTCTGCAGAGGTGAGCTCAGTGCTGACTCTGAGCAGAGCTGCAGCCTCTCGCTCCTGAACGCTTTTAGTTGTTCATTGCATTAGCTTCAACTGAATAGTTTTAAGTTGTCAGCCAATTAGGTGTTGCAGCCCAGGTTCATATTTTCCTATATCTTCCATCACTTAGTTTTGTACACTTTGCTACAGGTGGCTAACGGGGTGAAGGTTATACTAACACAAAGATGGAATGACAAATAAGGAATAACACAGTAAATGAATTGGTAACCTCTGGCAGGAGCCATAGAGAGAAAGAGTAGATCCCAGAGAGAGTAGATCCCAGAGAGAGATGGCGTCACTTTAACGTCAACAACTCAACACAATGTTGACAACATGAATTGTATCCTCCTCTGCATGTCCAGCAGCATTTGATCTGATTTTCACGCAGAACTACTTCAGAGATCACTCATGGTTTTAAATCTACTTGTTATCCAACATCTGCCCCTTCAAATGTCTTACAAAGCACATATCTACTGCAGGGAAATCCAAAATGCTTGTGGGGACACCTGAACCCCCCTAGCAGGATGATTCAAGGACCTCCGTATTTATAAAATCCTGCGTACGGCCATAGTTCAGGGTGTAAATGATGGATGCTCCATTCAATGACTTCCCTTTACTCAAGTTGACCAGGATCACCTGAACGTGCATCAATAAGCTGCCCCTGCCCCCCACAGTCTGATACTGTTGGCTCACAGCCCCCCCCCCCCCAGCTGAAGTGTTGCTTCACCGTCCTCTCTCTCTGCTGGTCCCAGGTCTGCTGTACAGACTGCCTTGTACGCTGTAAGATAATAGATGTCTGTTCTCTTAGTCCTGTTGTAAAAGATAGTGTTATATTTTCTATATGAAGGAGAGGAGGTGTGTGGGGGTGTCGCTGCTTTGCTCCTGTTCACTCTGCAGAACACTGCTCACCTTCATCTGATTTTATACCTGAGACACCATATTGATATAACAACCATATTGTAGATTTTTGATAACTAATCATCTGTGATTTGGATATAATGGCCTAGTGGGTAAAAAATAATAATACAACATATAAAATCAGCCTGTAATGCAGCCTTTCAAATCAGGAAAGTACGTTAATTACAATATTAGGATTTTAAATATTCCAAATGTATTCTCATGATATCTGAATGATATCCATAAACTGCCCAGACATATTTAGAGGTTTCCTCTGGTGTTCCATTGGATGTGTGTTGACGGAGGGTCCCTGCCATGCAGAATGGAACATTCCGTCACAGTCACATGATAGTCCAGCTCTGACAGCCTCTGACCTGCTGAGATCAGTCACTTCCTGCAGAGGGCAGACTTGGCGTCAGTCCAAAGGTTTAGTTGAGCTGAAAACAGATGATGTCCAAACTCTGAGAACAGATATAGAGCTCTAAAGTCACTCTGCCACATTCTTCATCACATTCTTTAAACACCTCACATTTGACTGGTACTTTCTTCCTGCAAAAATATGATCGTTTGACATTTCAAAATGTTCGCTAGCTATTAACATGTTTAATAGACTAAGAAACATATATTTATGATAATCAAAATTTGAATAGGCGTGAAATCATTCGAAATTGGCTGAAATTGAAAGAAAAATAAACTAAACGGAGACACTTGTTGTGTAAGTCAGTAAACATTAGTCAAGTAAAATAAAGTACACATTGAAGTTCAGACACATGGGCTTGTTTCAGTAGAAAGAGGATATGGAAGTATGTCAAAAAACACAGTGCATTCTAGTTTGATCAGATAAATACCTTATCAAATGCAGTTGATAACTACCTGATACTGAACGCTCAGCTAGACCTTCATTCAGCGTGAATAAAATGTCACACATATGTTTTATCATCAAGGCTGTGAGTGGCAGTAGAAGTGATTGATTTTGATCTGAAATCCAGAAGGTCCTTCTTCAGTTTGATGGAGACGGCCTGATCTCCTCTGAGCCTCTATTATCACATGTTTCATATAATAAGCACTGCTTTCAAACACAACAAAAGTCAGTGATTTATATTTCATTAGCGTTATCCAAGTTCAAGTTTACTCTCCCATCATCTCTGGAGCTTTCTGGGTACATGCAGTTTGAATGAGCAGTGCTCCTTAACCAGCAAAGATTCAAACAGAGAAACATTCATTTATTTCTTTATTGTAAAATGTCAGAAAAGGAATAACACTACTGAACAAAGGCAGAGGACCGCCACCAGTATACAGAGTTGGAGGACGGGCTGATTCCAACTGTAGGAATTTTTCCTGTGCAGAGTGATATGTTACACACAGTGTTTAGCACCTCTGGGGAAATGCTTCTGTCAGTTGTCAGACCAAAACTAAAATGAAAAAAAGATGTGAAGGGCATCCTGAAACTGAAGATGTACATACAGAGGAATCCTTCAGATAAAGAGAAAGTTAGTTTTTTTTCAGATGTGGTTCCATTTTAAAAAGGACATGGATTTCTCAGTGAGCACATTGTTGCTTCTGCTTGGTCATTGGTTATCACACTTGGAAGGACATACTTGAATGACTGAAAACAAGAATAAATAAAGTGTATTCCTCAGATTATATCAGGAGACATTGAGAGAAAACATCTGAAATTGATCAGTTAATCTTTGCAATAATGTTAGATTTTTGAGTCACGAATACAGAATATTAGAAGACCTTCTCAGCGCCCCAAAGCTCCATCAAAAGATTGAGTGGTTGATTTAGTTACTGGGATAACTGGAACGTACTAGCCCTGCTGTCTCACTTAGAAATTGACAAAACAAAATGTGCAGATGGCTGGAGATTTGAGGGGCCTCTTCATTAGGTGTCTAAATGTTCTTTCAGGTACTTTCCTGTGAATGCTCAGGTGTTTTGGGACCTCCTTTTGGGGAAAGTCCAAATACATTAAATAAATACTCTTCGTACAGGGACTCATTACCTGCTAACTTGTTTGATAACGTGTTCTGAAGATCCCATTGCACATACATGTCTAGATTACATTTCTTAGATTTTAAACAGAGTGTATTGGAAAACCCTCCTTAAGGCAGAAGCACATTATTGTATCATCACAAATATTTCTTATAATTGATGAGCTCAGTTAGACTCAGAAAAACGTTTTAAATATAGATTCAGGACCAACATTCAATCTGTTACAACGGATTTGTTTTTGTCGTGATGGAGAGTCTGTGACAGCATTTGGAGACCAGTGATAACACCCTCTGAGAACTCTAAAGGCAAGATGAACCCCCCCACCACCACCACCTGTTAGAGCAGGACGGGGAGAGTAGTGTGTGTTAATGCCCCCAGCCCCACATCATTCCACTGAACCCGGTGTGACTGTGTGTGGCAACATCTGTTGCTTTTCTAATGTTCAGACCCAGTGGCGTGATTCAGAGGCTCCACTGAACGTGAAGGTGGCTCCTTGCATTTATCTGTTGTACTGTTACTGTAGTATTGCTGTAACATAAATGTTTTCTAAGTTATTAAAAACCAACAGCCAAGGCATCTCCTCAAAAGCTCACTGTGTCCTTGCCTTATTTTCATTCCTGAAATGATTTTTTACAAGAAATGTATTTAAATCCTAAAAGCCTTGAAGTGGATGTTTCTGCTGTGAAGAAGTCCCAGCTGAGCTGCTGAAATAGGGATGTAGGTTTTATGTTTAAGTTATTTTTGTAATACTGTACAACTCTGTTTTAAAATGCGAATTTGAACCATGGTCTTAGGAGATAAAAACCTAGTGTAGTGATGTTGCTAAACAGAAATGTAATTGAATCATATTTTTGACATATAAACATGTATACATTGAATGTATTTCTCTGTAAATAATAAGGACTACAGCAAGCTTTATTATTTTAATTTAACTTGTTTTTTGTACTTATTTATTCATTTAGAGTTACTTGTAATTGTGTTGTGTAAGTATCACCAAACTTCACGGTTCTTTTACTTGTCTGCCCTCTGGCTACAGTGAGACACTACATATACCATTTGCGTCAAGAGCATACAATTACACATAATAAGCACATCCCGTTGAAACCATAGACTGTATAAAGGTTGAAACCTACAA